TAAGTCATCGTATATTTGCAGTTATGTTACTGATAAGTCGCATAGTGATTTTAAGCAGGAAGAAATCAAATGTGCTTTGTACGATTCTCAACACTGACATGAGCAGTAAAATGCAGCTGCTACTTCATTCCTTCTATAGTTCTCAAAGAATAAGGAGAAAGCTGGAGCTTCAGGCCTGCAATAAACTGGCTTTCTCCATGGAGTTGTCAAATGGCCTATAGATTTAATAAACCTACCACTCCACCCTTCTTTCACACCCAAATTGTTTCATCGCTGGGAAATGCTTTTATGGCCACTGACTTCTATAATGACAAACTATACCCATATTTCTTTTGTCAAGCTCAGAGTTAACACTTTTAAGATAAAACCAATATTTTAAAGGGTTTTTTAAAAAAAAAAATTTTAAGATTTTATTTATTTGTCAGAAAGAGAGTGAGCACACACAAGCAGGGGGAGCAGCATGCAGAGGGAGAAGCAAGCTCCCCGCTGAGCAGGGAACCCGATGCCGGACTTGATCCCAGGACCCTGCAATCATGACCTGAGCCAAAGGCAGACACTTAACCCACTGAGTTAGGTGTCCCAGGATAAAAACAATCAACTGTTGTACAAAATGAGTCCAGGAACATTTGTGGACTTTTTACTTAATTTCTCTTCTTTTTGCAATAAATTGAATATTCTTGGAATACAACTTGGCAAGTATAATGCAGAAACCCAGCAGCCCTCTTCTCATTCTCAACTGCTCTGCTGTGTGACGCAGAGTTTCCCAAGATGACACTATCAGTGCCATGCTCCCAGTTCTGGCGTCAGAAATGGAAAAGAAAAAGCCAGGACTGCTGTGAAGTGTTCAGTATGCTTGTGCAGTAGACCCATGGGACCTGAATGTCCTTCAGGACTCCCCAAATTATGCAAGAGAAGACAGTGACCTGGCCAGGTTACCGTGACGTAGGCCCTAGATGTAGGTGAATCCCTCCCTGTGACTAAAGGATGAGAAAAAGGAGAGCAGTGCTCTCTGCTAGGCAGTGGACCCGGAGCTTGGGAATTAACAACTTAATTTTCTGGGTTTACACCAGTTAGTGGGGGATGGAGGATGAGCTACCTCAATAATTCCCCACCAAGAATTCTTCGGCAGGGACAAGATTCCCCAGCAAGACCAATCACATGGAAATGCTGAGCCCAAGAAAAGTCAGCACAGCCCAAAGGACCCTCTAAGGAAACAGATTGGTCCATACACAAATCTTAGTTGGGCACGGAGGCTAATTCCACAATTTCCAGTACCCCTGTCTCTTCCTAGACTAAACACTGTATCCTATACTTCCTTCTCATCAAACAAGTAGACAGGAAGTAATTTTGCACGTATTATATTTGAAGTGCCTGTGAATACAGAGATGGAAATATCAAGTGGACAGTTGGATACATGAGTATGGAGCTTCAGAGAACAAGTCCAGATCAGAGTATATATTTAGCAGTCATCAGAATACAATGAAATGTAAGTGAAACCAGGACAACAGATGAGACGTGTCAAGGCCTGCGACTCACGTTAAAAGAAAACGGAAGAGAGAAAGATGCGGTATGGGCAGATAGATACCAATCCCTTTGGTTGATTTCAGGGCTAAGTTAAGGGATATATGAAAAAGCACTTGATTTCACTTCCCTACCTCAGTAAAACCCGTTTCCTACTCCAGTCCCCCCTTTCCTCTATCAATCTTTTTCAGACTTTATTTAAATTATACTTTCAACTGAAAACACCATCCCTCACAAATACAAAATGGTAAAGAACACAAAACTCAATGACACTTGGCCTCAAAGGACACCTACACTTAATATTCTCGAAACTCTGTAAAAGTTATACGATTTCTCCCAATGTCTCCACCATGGCTCTCTGCTTAACTCTTCATTCTATTCTAGAACTACAGTCTTCTCCTTGACTAGTTCCAAGCAGACTGGCATGAAATCTCCCTTGGAACAGTTAGGGTGATCGAGTGTTTCAGTTTCAAAAGAATGCAGCCTGTAAGCAAAATTAACATCAAAAGAGGAAGCCAGATGTCAAAATATTGAGCAAAATGGGGCTGTCAATAATGAAAAACAAGCACTGCAATGTGGAGAATCCCCACACCAATAACCTCAAGGTAAATTTCAAAATATGTTTCAGATGCAAACCTTCATCCCTCATCTGTGACCTATATTTTTTCCCTCCACCCACTACATCCTCTTTTATTAAAAGTAACACAAAGGGAAAACACTTTTGAAATCAGAGTGAGACTTATACACCCCAGCTGCAACTTCAAGAAGATATCATCATGACTAAGTTCACATGACTCATAACTTTCCTGAATTATGCAATTCATAACAGTTCAATTGAAATCATCTTGGGTGTCCTGTGGAGTACTCCAGAAGCCAGGATTCTAGTATATATTTCTATCCTTCAGAAAAATGTTGTCAAATCCATGGTGGGGGGAGGGCATGGGTGGCTCAGTCAGTTAAGCATCTGCCTTCAGCTCAGGTCATGATCTCAGGGTCCTGGGATTGAGCACCCCCCCACACACACCGCAGGCTCCCTGCTCAGCAGGGAATCTACTCTCTTTCCCTCTGCACCTAAACCTGCTCTTGTTCTCTCTGTCTCTCAAATAAATAAGTAAAATCTTTTTTAAAAAGTTATCAAATCCCTAATCAATATTTAGTACTGAGGGGCACCTTGCTGGCTCAGCTGGTAGAGCATGCATCTCTTGATCTCAAGGTTGTGAGTTTGAGCCCCACATGGTGGGTAGTGTTTACTTTTAAAAAATTTAATACTGAAATTATAGTAACATTTTAAGACCAGTAGGCTATAATAAACCATGCTCTTTAACTATAAAACTATTTTTTGATCTTTACCATCTAAATAATGGTAAGGTTAAGTTAAGCAACTAATCACATCCGGAGCCATTAAACACACACAGACTCACTCTTCAAAAGAAAAAACTACTCATAAGGCAAAAATTTATCACTGTGAGAATACGACAACTCAGTACACCTTTCTGAGACTCTTTTCCTACTGTTTTATTTTAAAAACTAAAACATGATCTATAAGGTTTATTTCAACACTACAATATGTAAATGCCCCCACCAGGAGTGTCCTTATTTTCCCTCTTCACCTACCTAAACTTAAAATCTGGCCTTGAGTGCCGCCTCCTTCAGGGAGCCTTTGATAACCTTCCGAGGCTAGGTTCAGGTTAGAAGAGCTAGTGCTCTTCTAACATTATGTGAATACATGGTAAGTCTATGCATTCTTCTGGCACTTGTGGTCAGCACTTTGCAAATTAAAAACACAGCCAAAAAAACAAAAAAAAACCCCTCTATGATCTGTGAATGTTGTGGAGGATTCATCTAGAAAGTAAGGTTTTCCGTTATACTATGTGCTTCCTTAGGATTCCTGCTACCTATTTTTCCACCTGTGAACAAGAGCATGATGATAAAAAATGATACAGCTGTGCTACAGTAAAAATATAATTTTAGTATCTCAAAGTACGTTTGTTTTTATTGACATTTATTCTTATGAAGTAGATCCTTACTCTATCTCTCCATCCTGACCATCACTACCTCAAAATTTCCCTTCAGTATGTACTGACTTCTCACCTCTCAGCCCTTCCTAACAAGCTCCCTTGCCTTTCATTACACTAGTCACCTGTAATCCATTTCGGTTTGAGATAACCACAAAGCAGTAGTTCAGGTGAGAACACTCAACAGCTTTAATACCCTCAGTCACTTACCATTTCTGTCCATTAAACTAAAAAACTGCCAGGTAAACTAATGTGAAAGTTTTAATTAGCTACAAAGAAAACCCACATGTGTCTCAACCGACACAACACGACTCACAGAATCATGGTGGGATCTGGAGACCAATACAACCGTGAAAAATCAACTTTGAACACTGGGAAAATATACTGTGATTCGTATTTAATTACTAAACTGTCTTATATGTCAACTTCCGTAAGGCAAAGAATCCTAAGACTTCGTAAGCTTACACAAATTGCACATCTTTTAGTGTATGTCCATTCTAAAATCCAATCTCTTCAGAAAATCTAAGTAAGGGGGTGGCGGGGCATAATTGGGTGATGGGCATTAGGAGGGCACTTGATGTAACGAGCACTGGGTGTTATACGCAACCGATGAATCACTAAATTCTACCCCTGACACTAGTAATACAGTATATGTTAACTAGATCGAATTTAAATTAAAAAAAAAAGTGTCAGTTGAAAAAACAAAAAAGAAAAAAGAAAATCTAAGAACCCTCTACTTCCTGGGCTCAAAACTGTTCAAATTGGTCATCCCTGGTAATTTTTTTTTTTTGGTTTAAAATAGCAAGGAAGTCATTCAAGCAGTATCAAAAGAGTTGGCCTGGCAGGTTCAAGCGCCCCCTCCCAGCACCCCCATAAACTGCAATTTAAGTAAGTACACGCTTACAAAGGTCGCAAAACCCAAGTCCAAGATGAGCTCTCCAGTCACCGCCTTCCAACCAGATTACTACATAAAGAACCTCCTACAGAAGAAATTCTAGGTTGCTCCTTGCAGAGCCAGAAAGAGCTGTGGAGCTTTGGGCCCTTCCTATCCGCAGCCCCCCACCACCCACACACACACCAAGTCCTGGCTTTGGCAGAACACCTTGGTAGGGCAGGGACCTGGACCACATCTCCCTCCCCAAATACGAGGCAACACCACCCCCCTTACCGCTTTCCAAAACACACTCCCCGAACACCAACTCTGGAGGGAGACCCCTCCCAGGCCCTCAGTCACCACCGGGGGGCCCTGCCAGTATCCCTTTCCCATTCAGAAGGACAAGCCCTTCTCCCTGCCTTCCCTAACTCCGAGAGCCACACCCCCTTTCTGTACCGAAAACTTTGGGACGCGCCACCGTCCAATACCCCGCCCCTAAACACCTGAAAGTTCTGCTCCCCCGCTCTTCCCCGAAAGCAGCGCGCTCCAGGCGCCCGGCCGGCCCTAAGCCAACTCTCCGGGGTCTTTACCGAGTCGCTCCGGGGAATCGTCCGGAGATCGTGGCGCCAGCACGAAAGGAACCACGCTGGTCAAGAAGAGGAGACACTGCCTCATGGTCCCAGCCCGGCCACCGGCTCCACCGCTCTAGGCAGCCTTTCGCCTGACGGGGGCTCGGGACACTGCTCACATTGGGAGAGAAGGGGATCCGCCCGGCCCTGCCCCTCAAGCCTTTCTCCTCCCGCGCCGCCTACCGGAAGACTCTAGAGCCCGGCTCTATGCCCCCGGAAGTGCAGGGAGCGCTCGGAGAGGGCGGCTCAGCCGGCTTCCGGCCGCCGCCGGCCCCCGCACCGCCCACAGCCGGAAGCCGGGCGCTGCGCGGCATGCCGGGAGCCCGTCGCTCGCCACGCCCCGTGCTGGCGCCCCGCCCCCTCACCGACCCTCCGTGGTCCTCTTTCGTCCCCAGTGGGTGCGGCCGGCGCCTGCTCTGACACGGCCCGCAACGTCCTGACTCGACCCATCTGGCCTCGCCTGTGTCCCCGGGTGACCGCCACGAAGGAGGTGGGAGCTCGGGAGTAGGCCCTCAGAGGCGCGTCCTCCCGCCTCCGTGGTCTGGGTCCTCCTTCTGGTTAGGATCCCCATTATCCTACCACCTAGTGCCGGAGGGCGGACGGGGAGGGGCGCCTGGCCCGTTTTGCTCGGGGGGAACGACCCAGACACGAAGCTCATGGGACGCAGGACGGCCGAGGCCCTGCGCCTGACCCCGGAGAAGCCCCGTGCACGCGCCAGCCTCCCGGACCCAAGTGGAGTGTCCAGCCCGGCTGTCCGCGGCCACCGGTGGCGTCCGTCGTAGCGAGCCCGGCTCGGCGGAGGGAAATGATCGAGAGCTGTCTGAACGCGCGTTTTCTTGTCGGCCCCGCTGTAGGCAGGGGGTCTGCAAACTCAACAAAGATTCCAGAACCCCAGCCCTAACTGCTCATCCGGTGAGCGCGGGAGCCAGACTCTTCAGCCGGCTTTTTACAAAGTTCTGCTTGCTTTGTGTAGCTTCGACTGGAGATTTCCCAAAGCAGTTTGTGTTTTGTTTTGCAATCCTTTCCATAATTTTAGCTCGTGTAGTTGAGTGAGAGTGTTTATAGTACTGAAGAAAACATTCTAACAGCATTGGATGCTTATTGCTCTTTTGGTTCAACTAAGATTTATAAAAGTAGGACATAGCACATTTTCCACTTAAAAGTGAGTGCAACAGCCTTTTCTCCACTATGAAGTGGTAAATTGTTAGGAATAGGATGTAGCCTTGCTCGGTGAACTTTCAAGGCTAGTTCCTGATAAAATACACAAACTGTGGTTTAAACAGGTTCATTGTGGCTTGCCTCAGTAAAATCTCAGCATCTTTCCAACAGTTGTTACCCATAGTTACTGGCTTTGCATTTTTGGCTTAAGTGAACCTGGTACGTTCATCTGAGCTATGCCTTCATTAAATATAAACACGTGGCTTACCTAATGAAAAACGTAAGCAGAATTTCATCTCTGTAAATTGCACACAGCTTAAAAAAAAAAAAAATTGTATCCCTTGGGGTACCTGGATGGTTCAGTTAGGCTTCTGGCTCTTGATCTCAGCTCAGTTTTGTTGTTTTTTTTTTGGGGGGGGGGGTTTTTTAAAAACTTTTTTTTTTTTTTTTTATAATTTCAACTAACTAACATACAGTGTATTAGTTTCAGAGGTAGAATTCAGTCATTGGGCAGTTGCATATAATACCCAGTGCTCATTATATCATGGGCATTAAGGAGGGCGTATCACCCAGTTACCCCATCCTTCCACCCACATACTCTCCAGCAACCCTCAGTTTGAGGTATGATTAAGAGTCTCATGAGGGGTGCCTGGGTGACTGTGTGGGTTAAGTGTGGGCCTTCAGCTTGGATCATGATCTCGGGGTCCTCAGATAGAGCCTCACATTGAACTCCCTGCTCAGCACGAAGTCTGCTTCTCCCTCTCTCTCTGCCCCTCCCCCACCATGCTCTCTCTCCCTCTTCCTTCTCTCTAATAAATAAAATCTTTAAAAAAAAAAAAAAGTATCTTATGGTTTGTCTCCCTCTCTGATTTCATCTTTTTTTTTTTCCTCCCTTCCCCCCAGCTCAGGTCTTCATCTCAGGGTTGTGAGTTCAAGCTCCACTTTGGGCTCCAAGCTGGGTGTAGAGCCTACCTAAAAAAAAAATAAGATAGAAGATTTTAAAATTGTATCAATTGTATCCCATAGAAATGTGACCATTGTATACAATTTTAAAACACAATTAGAATATCATCTCCCGAACAGCCAGGCACCATACTCTGCAGCTTGTAACTTTAGTAGATCCTAGATTATATTCTTTTGGCGTCTTTCACAGCTCTAAGATGTCTTGCTCATAGGAAGCATTTAGCTGTTTAATAAATGCCATTTTTAATTTTTTTAAAGTAGGCTCCATGCCCAACATGGGGCTTGAACTCATGACCCTGAGACCTAGAGTCACATGCTCTTCTGAGTGAGCCAGCCAGAAGACCCAATAAATGCTGTTTATTTAAAAGTAACGTTCTTGGGCGCCTGGGTGGCTCAGTGGGTTAAGCTGCTGCCTTCGGCTCAGGTCATGATCTCAAGGTCCTGGGATCGAATCCCGCATCGGGCTCTCTGCTCAGCAGGGAGCCTGCTTCCCTCTCTCTCTCTCTCTCTGCCTGCCTCTCTGTCTACTTGTGATCTCTCTCTGTCAAATCAATAAATAAAATATTTTTTTAAAAAATTAAAAAAAAAATAAAAGTAACGTTCTTTTCTTTTTCTTTTTTTTTTAATTTTTTTTTAAGATTTTATTTATTCAACAGACAGAGATCACAAGTAGGCAGAGGCAGGCAGAGAGAGGGGGAAGCAGGCTCCCTGCTGTGCAGAGAGCCCGATGTGGGGCTCGATCCCAGGACCCTGAGATCATGACCTGAGCCAAAGGCAGAGGCTTAACCCACTGAGCCACCCAGGTGCCCCTAAAAGTAACGTTCTTAATCCATTTTCTTATTTATATCCAGAAGTCCTAGATTTTCAGGGATAGTCCAATATGAAGCAATCTCTCCCATTTACAAATACATAACACTCAAATTAGGGTTTCCGATTTGAGGTTTGTCTTTTCATTTATCAGCAGTCCCTATCTTTAAGATAAATTAACACCACGTGGGAGAGAGAAAGAACCAGAGGAACAGAAGAGGGATACACTGGATAGAAGAACTACTAGTTCAGTGATCTTCAAACAGTTACTCTCTTATCCCCAAAAGAATTGATCAGGATGAAATTTGCAGCATAATGTATAATGTAAGTACATTTAAAATTGAAATTATTAGAGGTTGTTCTTTTAAATTTACCAAATAGGATATCTGAGAGATTTGGTAGCCACAGTGGTCACCAGCCCCCACACAGCCCCCCCAATGATCCTTGCTTCTTGATATTCGCACTCTCGTATGGTCAGTCTCCTAACACATTGGACCAATAGCATAGAGCAGAAGTGATCATATTTCACTTTCAAGATTTTAAGAGACTAATTTTTCCATCTGCGGTGCTCTCTTTCTTGCTTGCTTTCTCAGGTCACTTGGTGGAACATTCAGGAAGCCTCCAGAGAGGCCCACAGGAATGGAGATCACCATCCCACAGCCAGCAAATACTGAGACTTGCAGAAGACTACACGAGTGAGCTGGGAAGTGAATTCTCCAGCCCTAGGCAAGCTTCAAGGTGATATTAGTCCCCCAGCCCAACAACTTGACAGCAACCTCTGGGGACCCTAAGCCATTCCCTGATTCCTGACTCTCAGAAACTGTAGGAGAGAATAAGTGCTGTTTTAAGCTCCTACGTGAGAAGTAATCTGTTACAAAGCCACTATCATCTGCTTAAAAAAAAACAGCCAGGGGGCGCCCTGGTGGCTCAGTGGGTTAAAGCCTCTCTGCCTTTAGCTAAGGTATGATCCCAGGGTCCTGGGATCAAGCCCCACGTGGGCTCTCTGCTCAGTGGAGAACCTGCTTCCCCCCCGCCCCTGCCTATCTGCCTCTCTGCCTACTTGTGATCTCTGTCAAATAAATAAATAAATAAATAAATCTATCTAACTTAAAAAAAAAACAGCCAGGAACACCTGCTTGGCTCAGTCTGTAGAGCATGCAACGCTTGATCTCAGGGTCATGAGTTCAAGCCCCATGTTGGGCATACCACCTACTTAAAAAAAAAAAAAAAAAAAAAAAAAATATATATATATATATATATATATATATATGAACGGGTTGGCTGGATCCTAGGTTCCTCTTTTTTTTTTTCTTTTGAAGATTTTATTTATTTATTTGACAGACAGAGATCACAAGGAGGCAGAGAGAAAGAGAGGGAGAAGCAGGCTCCCCATTGAGCAGAGAGCCTGATGTGGGGCTGGATCCCAGGACCCTGAGATCATGACCTGAGCATGGCGGGGGCTCAACCTACTGAGCCACCCAGGCGCCCCCTAGGTTCCTCTTCTTAACACCAGAAGTGGTTCTTTTAATTTAGGATTCAATAAAGGTAATTAAAAGATTCTTGAGATTCACCAATCTCATGCTATAAAATGAATTCTTTATAATTTATATACTTATTACAAGTGAACTTAAGAGTAAAGTAAATTACAAAGAATAAAATATTTACAATTATTAAATACCTATCACCACATATGGTTGCAGAGTTAACTACCAGATCTGTACAAGTATTGATAAGATGGTGTAAATGATCAGAGAAATAGCTATTTGGTTCTGGCTGAGTTTGAGCTTTTTTCCTGTCATCCTAGCTCTCTTTCTCTTATTAGCTGCTCTCTGTCCTATTCTAATCCTACCACGACTTCTAGATGAATAGTGCCTTTCTCCCTCCATTTCTAAAATGCGTATTATTGCTGCATCTGTATGTTGTTGTTTTTGTTTTGGTTTTGGTTATTTTTTTTTTTTGCCAGTGAACAAGTCTGTGTGAAGCTAGCACTTCAAGAAACATGAGCCCATTCATAAATCTCTGTCCGATAACAAACCCACTGCTGAAATACAACTATCTACAAAATCATTGACCGAGAACTCTAGTTTCTGAGATTTTAGTTCAGAAATGGTAACCTATTAAAGATTCTTTTAGAAAGAAAAGTGAAAAATAAATCATACGCGGGGCAAAGCATAATATGGGAGGGTCCTCACCAATCAACAGATGACTCTTGCAAATTTTTTAACTGGGGAAGGAAATAACCAGGCCTAGTTGAAAATTGAATAATACCCCCACCAAGTTCAAAGAGAGAAGGAACCCAGACATTTCACTGAAAATATTATTTCAAGGAGATACACTTATAAAATTTTAGTAACTGTTTCTCTCTCTCTCTCTCTCTCTCTCTCTCACACACACACACACACTTTTTTAATGCCTTTTTCTTTCTTTTTAAGATTTTATTTATTTGACAGACAGAGATCACAAGTAGGCAGAGAGGCAGGCAGAGAGAGAGGAAAGGAAGCAGGCTCCCCACTGAGCAGAGAGCCCGATGTGGGACTCGATCCCAGGACCCTGAGATCATGACCTGAGCCGAAGGGAGAGGCTTAACCCACTGAGCCACCCAGGCGCCCCTTAATGCCTTTTTCTTATCAGGGATCTTTATCACAGGATTCTTTGCAGCCACTCCCTGGACATGGTGAGCAGAGAAATCACACCTCCTGTATATTGTATGCCGCAGAAAATAGGTAGCTGGGCTGGTTCTTTTTGTTCTTCAATCTCTTCTTTCACCCTTGAGATCTCAGAGTAATTAAGCCATACGTATAACTAAACGGTAGACTGGATAAAGAGAAAAAAAAACAAAAACTCGTGCTGGTTTGAAATGACCTCAGGTCTAAAATGGCCACAAGTCATGACTCTTGGTTTGACAGGCCCCAGAGAGGAGGCCATTGATTTCCCTCTGGTTCTACAGTGGCCAGTGACAGTCACTGAAAACCTTTTCTATTTAGCACTTTTTAGCAGAACTCCATTTGTTGAATGTTTAAACTCTGGCAATTCTACTAGTATTTTAAGAATAATATCCCCAAAGGTAATGAAATCATTATCTCGAAGACTGTCATGTTCATTGCAGCATTGTTTACAATAGCCAAGATACAGAAACAACATGTTCACGGAGAGATGGATAAAGAAAACGTGGTACAGACCTACAATGGAATATTATTCAGCCTTAAAAAAGGAAATCCTGCCATTTGCAACAACATGAATGAAATTGGGGGACATTAAGCTAGGTGAAATAAATCAGACACAGAAAGACAGACACTTTACATGTATAAAGTCTCTCAGTTGTATAATTTTTATTTTTTTATCTTTAAAAAAGTTTTTTTAAGATTTTATTTATTTATTTGTCAGAGAGAGAGAGCGAGAGCGCAAGAACAAGCAGGGGGAACAGCAGGCAGAGGGAGAATCAGGCTCCACACTGAGTGGGAGCCCGATGTGGGACTTAGTTCCACATCTTAGTGGACTTAGTCCCTGAGAATATGACGTGAGGCAAAGGCAGATGCTTAACTGACTGTGCCACCCTGGCATCCCAAGATGTGTAATTTTAAAAAGGTAAACTCAAAGAACCAGAGGGTAGGAATGGTGGTTGCCAGGTGCTGGGTTAGGAGGGGTGGGAATGGGACATGTTGATCAAAGGCACGAACTTTCAGGTTTTGTTGTTTTTTTAAGATTTATTTAGGGGTGGCTCAGTGGGTTAAAGCCTCTGCTTTCGGCTCAGGTCATGGTCCCAGGGTCTTGGGATCGAGCCCCGTATCGGGCTCTCTGCTCAGTGGGGAGCCTGCTTCCTCCTCTCTCTCTGCCTGCCTCTCTGCCTACTTGTGATCTCTGTCCATCAAATGAATAAATCAAATCTTAAAAAAAAAGATTTATTTATTTAGAGAGAGAGCATATGAACAGGAGGAGGGGCAGAGGGAAAGGGAGAGAGAAGATCCAGCAGACTTCCCACTGAGCACAGAGCCCAACACGGGCCCAGTCTCAGGACCCTAAGATCATGACCTGAGCCAAAATCCAGGGCCAGACGCTCAACCAACTGAGCCACCCTGAGTAAGTTCTGGGGATCTAATGTACCGTATGGTGACTATAGTTAATGATACTGTATTCTATACTTGAAATTTGCTGAGAGTAAGTGTTCTTACTATACATACACAAATGGTAACTATGTGAGGTAGCAGACGTGTTAAATAGCTTGATTGTGCAAATTATTTCACAATGTGTAGGTATATCAAATCATCACGTTGTACATCTTAAATATACGCAATTTTTATTTGTCAATTATACTTCAGTAAAGCTGGGGGAAAAATGATACCAAAGAGACCCACATTGTACATTTGCCCTCAAAAGGACTTATATTTCAGAAGATGAAAGATGCGTAGAAACAGAAACACACACAATGTGATACCTTTAAAAAAAAAAAAACACCTGAACACATGCATTTTTTTCATATTTTTTTAAAACAGAATTTTCATTTTGGACTAATTTTAGATTTACAGAAAAGTAGCAAAGTTCATACACAGTTCCCACACACTCATCACCCAGCCTCCCCTAATGTTCACATCTAACATAATCATAGTATTTGTCAAAACTAAAAAGTTAGGGCGCCTGGGTGGCTCAGTGGGTTAAAGCCTCTGCCTTCGGCTCAGGTCATGACCCCAGGGTCCTGGGATCGAGCCCCGCATCGGGCTCTCTCCTCTGCAGGGAGCCTGCTTCCTCCTCTCTCTCTCTCTGCCTGCCTCTCTGCCTACTTGTGATCTCTGTCTGTCTGTCAAATTGAAAAAAAAAAAAAAAAACTAAAAAGTTAATGCCAGATTTCATAATTTTTAAGATATTGTGTCTTTTTGTGGCCTTTCAAAACAATGATAAAATACCTAACAAAATTTACCATGGACAGTACTTTCATAGTGTTTGTCCAACCTTCACCACTATCTGGTTCCAGAACATTTTAATCACCCCAAAGGAAAATTCCATACCCAAATCACTCTCCGTTACCCCCTCCAAGGACTTAGCAAGCCTAATTGGATCACACAGTTTGGCTACTCATAATCTTTCTGTGTTTCCCAGTCCAACTCAGGATACCACGCTGCATTTAGTTACATTGACTTTTTTTTTTTTTTTGCAGTAATCTCGAACTCATGATCCTGAGATCAATCAAGAGTCCCATGTTCTTCCAACTGAGCCAGCCAGGTACCCCCAGTGTCCCAGTAACACTGTTTTACTCTTTAGGTTTCATAAACTGTTTCTAAATAGTTCATTCTGTAGAGAAGCACGAGTTAATTTGCTTAATTGGTTTTCAAGAAAATTGTCCGGTGTGATCCCTCACTACCTCCCCTCTGCACTGCTCTAATAGCTTCTGATGTGACTTTCTTGCCTCCGCTTGCTCCCTACCGACACCCCAACTTAACTAGGTTGGGCTGGCTGAATGTCTTCTCCTCGTTTCTTGCTTCTTTCATCATCCATTTGTTTTTTTCTTTTTTTTAAGTAGGCTCCAGGTCCAGCAATGGCCCAACATGGGACTTGAACTCATGACCTTGAGATCAAAACCTGAGCTGAACTGTTGGAGGCTTAATCAACTGAGCAACCCAGGTGCCCTTATTGTCCATTTGTTTTAACTGCCTTGTTGTCTACTGACAGTATCTCACTTTTCTCCATCAGAGCGAAAGCTCCAAAGGGAAGGACCCTGCTGCCTTCGATAGCAAGTAACACTGCTATGCATAAGGAAGTCAAAGGTGTTTATTTTTTTTTTTATTTTTTTAATTTATTTTCAGCGTAACAGTATTCATTGTTTTTGCACCACACCCAGGGCTCCATGCAATCCGTGCCCTCTCCAATACCCACCACCTGGTTC